TAAACAGGATTTTAAAGCATACAGCAAACCATTAATCCTCCTGAACCCTGATCACGAGGCCTGTTGCAGGCAATAATGCATCCATAAAAGGACTGCATTATTAAAATATTTCTAAGCTAACAAAAGAAGCACTCGGCAGCTGTTATTACTTGCCCACTAAATGTCAAGTTTGAATCAAGTAGCACACCTACGGTTTTAGATGAAGGATTAACAGGAGACAGCAGGTAGGCTTTTGAGTGTTTTCTGGAAAACCAGTTTACCTTTCAGAGAAACAAATAAAAATCTCCATCTTGCTGTAAAATCAAATGACAAATCCAACTCTGAATCTTTGACATCAAGGTAGATCTGTGAGCATCATTAGTATCTGAAAGGAAAAAGACTGCTGGTAAATGATGTGACCAATGGGGATCAGGGAGCACATGAACAGAAAAAGGCAGTGGGCCTAAAAACTGACTCTGTGGGACCTCATGGTTAAGTCAAAGACAACAGAAAATGCTTGGTGACACAAAAAGGAAGTAAAGTAAATTAAGAACAAAAAATTCAGGACTACCCAGCATTCAACGCAGTTAAAGAAAGTGGTATGATCTCGCTGTACTGAGGCCTCAGATGACTAACACGATCAACACAGTCAGGTGACATATGAAGGAAACTGGTTATTGAATTAATTATATACCGTGAGCATAAGATTTTGCAAGCAAGCAAAGCAAATAAATATTACACATGGACCTTGCAATCAAATATATATTCGTATAGTTGTATAGTCCCTTGTTCTAAACACTGCTGGTAGCGCTTTAAGGCAGGACACTGTTATTTTGTTGGATGAATTAGAAACTAATAGAAAGTAGATACCAAAAATAGTTCTGTTATTCTTTTGGTTACAATATTAGATAAAAAACTGAAATTTTTTGCGGAGCCACACTCTACAACAAACCACATAACTTACTGGTTCCTCCTTTTTAGTTTTAATCCACCTACATCTGTGTGTTTTATTCTTAGATTACTTTACTGTTTGACATAGTTTTTTCTCCTCGAATGCCGACAGAAGCCCTCCAAGGTACAGCTGAGAAAGGCATATTTGTTTTCTACTTCAGGTTTTCTACCGAGTATGAGCTGCTGAACAAACAATCCAGAAGAAGTCCCATTTCTTGCCTTGTCCACTTTGCAGATCCAACAGTAAAGTAGACCTGAAAATAAATTCCTGTATGGTAAATGTAGCTGATTCTCTCTCTTTTAGATCTCTCTCACACACACACCACAGTGACATCTGTTAATAAGTGAAGCTACAACATGCGTTTTACGTCACTCTGCAAGAATAAGTTAAGTGGTCTGTAATGTAATATGTAGCTGTTTCTCCCTTTTTCCTTTTTAATTACACAATAACAAGGTTGTTAACACAGTTTTCCCTAAACATCAGTTTTGTTTCGCAGTAATGCACCCCATGGGTTCCCGGTGCACTGAGTATTAGTATGACTCAGCCAGTGTTTTATTAGTACCAAAATTCATAGAACATAAAAACAACGTGGTAACTCTGTTCAACACAGCTCATGATAATTGTCACCAGCAAAATACAGTCAACCTCGTCTGTATACTGAGACGCAAAATGTCAACGATTTCTTGAAAACTCTTGCTTTATGGAAAAACATACAATGTGTATGTATGCTACAGTTAGTATTTTCAGTACAAGTACTTTACTGTATCGACTGCTTACCTTCGTGTGGCCAAAGGAGTACAGAAGTCCCAAAGTCGGATCATAGAAAAATCATAAGTCAAAATAATCCCGGCACGACCCTAACAAAAATATGATCCAGATATGAATGTCAGCCATTTTCTTCTGTATCTCTCTTACAGAAAGTCATAGATGTAGATGTTAAGAAGTGCGTTTGGCTTCCCTGAATGCGTGTGCATGTGTTTGAATATGCATGTGTTGGTTTAACACGTTATACTAAAAAGAAAGGTGAGAAAGAGTGATTAATGTCTTACCTGCTCCAGAAACTTGGTGCATTAATGATTACCTGGTGCTTAACCTTCAGTATAGCACGTAGGAGGTAAGAAATAAAATACATGCCCTTCCAGCTGCTTCGTCTTTTCCTCTGTCTGACCAACATTAATGTTTGAGGTGGGTCAGTTGTGTTGTTATTATTTTATGACTTTCTTCTACATACTTTTTTTGGGGTAAGAAATCACAATGCTGAAACCTGTCAGCTATTTAAAAATCTGTTTTCGTTTTGCATGAAGGACACCTGGATTGTGCGCAGGTGTATTTCTGGGCAACAATAACATGAACTGCATTTCTTCATGTGTAGCAATATGTGTTAACCTTGACACAGAGGTCACTGAGGAAAGATGGAAATCCTATATTTTAGCAGTTTTGCTATATTTTACTCGTGAAACTAGCTATGCCAATCTTTTGCATATTTCATGTATTAATTGTGTGCTTGCCCATGTGAAGGTTTGTTTCTCACCCACTCTTGTTTGTGCTAAGGAGGCCAGCTTGACCCTGAGGCCTCTGAGTGCACAGGAGTCCTTATCTTGTCTGTTGAAGGCTGCACAAATAATTGTGTGGAGGCTTTGGAGCGTCTTGTTAGTGAAATAGTTAGATAAAACCAGGAGAGACTGACCCTCGGCTCTTTTCCCTCTGCTGCACGAGAGACAAACTTCCCTGTTAGATGGAATGTGACTTTATACCTTTGGGTTTTGTTGTTGAAAGGCAGGAGTTGAGTATGTATAGTAAAAAATATCTTTGTATCATTGTAAAAAAGAATAAAAATATCAATTCATGAAAAAAGTTTAGAATCTGGCAGCAATGGCTGAAAAAATGGTGGAATATTGTAATGTTAAAAAACTGTAATACTAGTGAAAATAGGATATATATCTGTATACTTGTATATATCTGTAAAATAATATTTTTAGCTGATTAAAAAAGCAGTAAAACAGTGTGATTTTATGGTCACTTATTGTGAAAGAATCAATTTAATGTTTGTAAAAATGAAATTTTTTGATATTGACATTATTTAATTTATTTAATGTCTGTTTTTTTCATGTAAATTAATACTGTATTTCTGTGAGTTTATTAGTTACTATCGGTAAATTAACAAAACAATTAAAATCCATAACAGTTAAAAAATATTTACAATTGTTATTGTATGTTTGCTTGAATGTTTATTTTCAACATATTTTCTTTTTGCATTTTTTAATACAGTAATAAATTGTGGAATTTTATGGTCAGAAATTACAAAAGAATGAATTATCATCTACAACAAAACTGATTTTTGATGTGGACATTATTTACTCTTATGGCCTTTTTTTCCTTTGTTTCTGTGATTTTATTAGTTATTATCTGTAATTTAGCAAAACATAGAGCATCTGGAAAATAGCTGTAAATTGATTTTTTAAAAAAGCACTACAGTTGAAAACTTCATAAGCATTCATTTTCTTAAAACAGTGTACACATGGTTGATTGCAACAAGTAAGTCTGATGGACCCTTGCTCTTTATAAATGTACTTTTTGTGAAATTTCTATAACATTTAATATGCAAATCAGTTTATATTTTAAAAATCCCTAAAGCACTTTATTTTCTTTATTTCCATAATCTATATTTTAAATCCTGACTAAACCCTGTGTGGCCCTAACACAAAAGAAAACCCCACAGGCTGCTCACATGCATGCAGGCACTGCTGGTGCCAACTCTTTTCAAGAGTTTCAGACACCCTCCATTGTAATGTATTCCTTTAATTGTTCACTCAGCCTCTTCCAGTGAACCCAGTGACCCTATTTCACTCTGTCTGCACCCTCATGTCTGACTTTTTGCAAGTACATAATAATTCACTTAATAAGAGCAAAGGGCATGATGAATAAGTAACGTGGACTTGAACTTGTTATTTCATCAACAGTTCTTTGCTGTTGTTGTTGTTGTTGTTGTTGGGGTTTCATATCATATCACAAATTATTTTTTTGATGTAAAAAAATATATTAATTTTTTAAATGTCATTTAGCACTCGGGGAAAGCAAGGTTTTTATTTCTTTTGGCAATATTTTTATATTTTATTTGTTTTTTCGTTCTACTCCACGATCGATTTTTCCTCGATCGACTGCGGTTTCTTGTTGCTATGCAGGTCTGGAGGACGCAGCCTCCTCCTGTCAGTCTTTTCTCCTCTGCTCGGCTAAACGAAGATGCTCGGTGGACTAAACGTGCAGGTTTTTAATAGCTATCGTCGTTCTCGTCCGTTTATTTTACTTAAAACACCTTTATGCTAGTGTTAATCGAGGCTACTGTCGACGCCGGGCGAGAGAGGGCAAACAAAAAGGATGTCTCTGTGCTCCCGGTGTTTTTTTCCAACCAGACACCGGCCGCGGTCCCGCTCTCCGCCGCACCGTGGAGCCGTTGAGCCGCGTTGCTGAAGGGGTTCCCCGTTAATATCCCCCCCACCATCCCTTCCCTCTGCTTTTTTTCCCCCCCCTCTCCGCCTGTTTGCTCCTCTGCTCACAACAGTACAGTACACACTCTCGTAGTGGCAGCAGCCAACACAAGTGTGTCCAGCAGTCTCTCCTCGTAGCTTCAGCTTCTGCTCTGTATAAACTAGCCATTTATCATCAATCATGGCCGCCGGAGTACAAATTTAACTCCCGTCTTTCCTCCCTGTCGTCTGGAGGGGAGGATTGTTTTTTTTTTTTTCCTTTTTTTTTTTTTTTCTTTTTTTTGGGTTTGAGGAAGAAAAAAAAAAATTAGTCCCACACTGATTTGGTTTTCCTTTTGGAATTACAATACATCTCACAAGGGAAATACCATTCATGTCAATACTTCAAAATGCAGCCGCCGCCGAGGAAGGTGAGTGATTTCCAGAGTCCGTTATGTTTGTAGCTGGGCACAATGACAGACGGAGTGTAACCTCAGATATTTGTGTTTTAGCAGCCACACGCAAAACAAAAGATGCTGCGGGCTTTACATAAAAATTAAAGGGAGGAAAAGACCCCCCCCTCCCTCCCTTGCTAGCCAGCATTAGCAGCGGCTGCTAGCTTGGTTAGTTAGGAACCTCAGTGACATTAACGTGCATCTGTCCAGCCGCTGCAGCCTGACCGTCAAACGTCAAACAACGTTAGCTAGAAAGCGCTAGGTGCTGGGCTAAGACGCTACATACACAACTCTAGACTGTCTTGGGAAGTAAACATGATGCTGTGCTTAAGGTCCCCGGTAGTGGAAATAACTTTAAATAAAAAAATCAGCACGTTAACACGAGGTCTGCAACGTTATAGCTCGTAACGTTACAGTAAATCTAATGTTGCATGGGTGTTATTTTGGCTAATTCACATATTGTGCAATTGTGACAACAGTCCTTCCAGACAGTACAACAAAAGCTGTCGTTTTTTTGTGTGTGTGTGTGTGATGCATCTTGTCTCAAAGAAAGTCCTTCAGTCCGTCCAGGGTCACACATCATTTCATCAAAGGCTGAGCTGACAAAAGCTAAACACACACACACACACACACAGCCATGCTGAGGAGACTTGCAGCCAGAGCAATCCATGTCTGACGCTGACTTATTGATTGTGTATGGCTTGAGAAAAGACCACAGTCCCTTATAGATTGGTCCACTGTTTGTGCGAGTGTGTACATGAGGGTGTGTTGAAGTTTCTGCTCCATTGCTTTCAGTGTGTGGTTAGATGCATGAGAGTCAATTTCCCTGCTGTGAACCTCTGCACACTTTTCTCTTAATTACCACATATTCCCTCTGTGCCATTTATGCCTTGGGCTTCTCTTCGCAGACTGGCCTTGAACATGTCACATCATGTCTTTTAAAACACATATACACACTTGAACAGGTCCTCTCATAATTGAGGCTGTAGAGAGACCACTCTTCTCCCTGTGTGCGATCAAGGGCATCATCGTTGTCGCTTTTTCTTTCATTCAGTTTTCTGCTAAAATGCTTCCAAGAATAAAACAGAATTTGCAAAAAAAATCTGATGTGTTACCCTCTGCCAATGTGGCTGGCGCGCTCAGTTCACTCAGCCCACAGCATCACAGCCAGAGTGTATCAGTATTTGGCTGTTGGATGCTAATAATTTCTCTCCCAGTGCGACACATACAGCCCCTTAAGTGTTCTGTCTGTGTCTCAGCACATCTGCTCTCAAACTGAGCTCAGTTAACACTCATATATTAAGTTTATGTGGCTTATATTAAATATGGAAACTATTGGGGTTGACAAAGGCAATGGATTGCCAAAAAATCACATTGAAACATCTATCTATCTATCTATCTATCTATCTATCTATCTATCTATCTATCTATCTATCTATCTATCTATCTATCTATCTATCAGCAGTGACACCTACAGGGGTGAGTACCACAACAAAAACAATGCAGCAGAATAGCTCTTCATGTATTGGCTCAACATTGTTGAGCTGCTGTTTTCATTAGGATTATTTTATATTCACAATGGGAGCTGGCAAAATTAGCAAAGTTTATCAAATAGCAGACAATGTGATTCTTTTGCACTTTTTAACAATACATGTCTATAAATTGACATCAGCTACTCTTGAACCTTATCAGCAGTTCAAACAACCAATCAGCTGTACGATAAAACAGGACACATACCAGACTGGAAGTGCAGCACGCAGGAAGGATAGGCACTGATGTGAAATTTGGATATAGATTTTACCGTCATATAGTTAAGCTGTAGTCGATATTGCGGTGAGGGCATCAGAACGTGTCTGAATGTTCAGGTGTGATGGCAGCAGTATAAACCTACTTGCTGCATCAGCTACAACTACACTAACAGAGGTTTTTCTCCTATAACATGACCTTTGATGCACCGCTCCTATCTCTTTCTGTTTGCTTCTTAATGAACATTTCTGTTGCTCTCACCTTCTGCCTTTCACTGGCCATTTCTCTTTCTCAGTCTTCCTCTCTCTTCCTCTTTTCTTACCCTCATTTAACTCTCACTTTATACTCCTCTACCCACTTCTTCTTTCATGCCCAGCTCAGCTCACTTTGTCTAACCATCTCTCTGTCACTCTTTGCACATCCCTTTCTCCTCTCTTTCTTTCCCTCTCTGTCTCTCTCTCTCTCTCTCTCTCTCTCTCTCTCTCTCTCTCTCTCTCTCAGTGGTTGCCAGTGAGTGATAGGAGGTGAAATCAAGTGAAGTCATTTTGCCCAGATAATGTAATGAACCACTCCCTCCTTATCTTCAAAGAAACAGCACATGAAAGAAAGGAGCTCTGCAGTGCTTTGGTGTATGTGTGAGCGTGTGTGCCAGTGTAGTGCGTGGCATGTTGTTGAATGTTTTGTCTAGAACAGTCATGAATTTGCCCACTGTTACTCTGGTGAATAGCCGATAGAATTCACCCGACAATGCACAATGACCTTCACAGTGACTCTGTGAGGAGGTGTGTGTATGTATGCGCTTGTTTGCGTGCATATTAAAGGTCAGTTCTGTGTCTGTTCTAGCACAAGATGCTGTGAGTGAGAGCAGGTTATAGCCCCCGGTCTGATCGCACAAAATCATTTGTGTGTGAGGTGATAGAATTAGCATCTTTTTCCTCAGCGTCTGTCTGTTTCTAATGCTGTTATGGGCTGTTAGTACTTTTCTGTCACCTCCATATGCAAAAAAAGAAAAGCCTCTTCAGACCTCTCCAAAAGTCTGACAAAACCCTGACACTGATTGTTGCATTGATTGATTACTGGAGTGTGTGCATGTGTGTGTGTCCTTTCAGGTGACTGTAGAGCTGAGCGCTCAGATGGTTGACAGCTGATTGGCAGATAGATTGCTGGGGGTTAAACTATTTGTGTATGTGTGTGTGTGTGTTTTACCGTCTCAAATGTGAGGTTTTGCTGCTTTTCTGTGTTATGTATCATTTCAAATTCAATATCTTGTTGGATGAAACAAGATACTTCAAGGTGCCACATTGGGCTCTAGGACAATATACAAAATCCAGAGCCACATTTATTTATTTTGACATTTCATAGTTTAAACAATTACTCAAATAATCAATAGATTACCTGATGAAGAAAATAACTGCACTCCTGAAGGATAATAGTACTGTATTTGTCACACTGGTGCCTGACTTTTGGTAATTTCATGCAACATTTAATCTAACCAGGGGCGGATGATGGAAAGATTATGGATTGTGGAGATGAATTATTAATTTTTAATGTGCATATGCTGTACGACTTTTAGGCAGGTAGAGGCATTCATTATTCAGTTAACCCTTTTAGAACCACAAATGACAGTAATTCAGCTCTACAATGTTAACCAAAATCACTACTAGCTTCATATCTAGTTACTGATATTTTATTAACAAATCAAGATGAAAGGACAGAGGGTTTGTCGTAGTTTGCTGTTGGAACGATGGCCAGTGCTATCGTCTGTTGCAGATGGCTGGTAGTCATCCCGACCCTGAGGTCAGTGTCACGATCGGCGACACCAAAAGTATACTCGGTAACCCAATTCAGCATGTTTTATTTAAACCTTTTATCTGTCTGACACAACATAGTCAACTTTGTTTCCCATACAGTGATTTATTAGTAGTGGCCTGCCACATTTTTTAAAATTTTATTTTGAAACTTCAGTCACTGCTAATCAGCTAGCCATGGCCTGTCTCGTGCTCTCCTTACCGCAGGCAGGGCAGACCGCTATTGTGGCAATCCTCTATGTCATTCAGCTGCCTCTGCAGTGATCCTCTCGTCACACAGATGAACTCTGACTCCACCATCTTGGACTACAGCTGGCGACAGTAGTCCATGCTCTGCTCCCTGGGCGATTTGTTATGAGCTGGAGGGCCACTCTTAACAAGAACCTGCAGCAGGTGGAGAACTGGTTCATGTGCTGCCACACCAGGCTTTCAGAGGCTGCAGAGAAGAGCAAGGACACCATGAAGTCCATCCATAATGAGATTGCTGACTATCATTGCCACCTCCAGTCTAACATGTCTGTCTGCGGAGGGGAGAGACTCACTAAAGAGACAGCTAAATATATTGCTTGTATATTTATTTGCCACTAAGCACTTGGCAATTAAGATATGTGCAGTTTGAGCACTTAACATACACAATATTTCACTGTAGACATATGCCAAATCTATTGACATCGCCCAACCCATGCAGAGTTTGGTTTTCTGTTGGTGAATGTTAACCAGGATATAAGGAACGTGCCTGCAGAGCAGATGGATAAATGACAGTGTCTTTTTGTTTCCTCCAGGTCAAAGTGACACAGGAGCTGAAAAACACTCACACGGAGCAGATGACAAGACTGCACTTTAAAAACCAGACTGAATGTGACCTGTTGGAAGATATGAGGTATGAATTTATCTCTGCATCACAAAGTTGGCCTGTAACACTGTTCTCCTCTCCTTGACTGCAAATGAACTGAGGAACACACTCACCAACTACCAGATGATTTGAAATCTTGTGATCGTTGCTGGCACTGATGTGCACACAGCATGCACACATGGTCACAGCCGTGTACAGAGAAGAGAGAGGGAAACGACTAAGGAGTGAGGGAGGAGTGGCAGGAGAAAGCAAAAGAGGAGGAGGAGGAGGAGGAGGAGGAGGACTGTCTTATTCCAGTTTTTTGAGAAGCACAAAGGGTCGGGAAAATGACGAAGGAATTTCCTGCTGCCCTCTTCCTGCTCTCTGACTCTGTTTCTTTCTTCCTGTCTTTTCTCTTTTCCAAATTTCATTCTGTATTTCTCTTTGTCATCTTTTCCTACTCCTTTATGTTTTCTACATCTTTTGCCCTGACTATCTTTTTGTCTCTCTCCATATCTCTTTTTCATTTTGGCTCAGCTGTTTGTTCATGACGTATGTGAGTTGGCAGTTTTCCCTTTTGGATTTGGCAATGGGAGGAAGCCCTGGTTCCTTCACACGCTCTCATTTTCTGTGTTGACTAAGCATTGATTATTTATGACAGCAAACTCTCTAATACTGCCTGCTTCTCTGCCTCCATGCCTGTCTTTCACTCTGTTGCTCATTTTCACACTTTCTTTACCTCTTTGCTCTCTGAGACTTCCCTGTCTTTTTCTCACTCTTTTTTCCCCTTTCACTCCTGGGGGCAGCTCCAGCTGTTTGAGAACAGATTGGCTTGTTGCTGCTGGGTTTTGGAGAGTGAACAAGGCTCCGGTCTCACTTGTGGGAGAGAGGGAGAGCCAGTTAAGCATATGCAACCACAATGTGTTAGTTCTTTCAGTCAGTGAGGGACAAAGCTATGTGCCACTGGGTAAAGGTCTCCAAATTGGCTTTGTCATCCTCATCGTTGAAAGACGCTGCCTGCAGTGTTTTCCCAGTATGTTACTCTAGCCTTTAATGTTTTGTAATTATTTCTGATGACACATTCTCATGGTGGTAAAATCAGGAACAGGAGGGTGGTGTAGCGATTAGGGAGATCGCCTTTCGCTTTCGAGGCCTAGGCTCAAGCCCCCGCAGTAACATGCATCTGCCTTCGTCAATGTGTCCTTGAGCTAGACACTGACGCCCTAACTGATGTGGCACCCATCTGACTTTGGAAGATTATCATAAAAGATCAGAAGGTTTTGGGATATCTGAAATTCACACCAGTTGCAAGATGTGATGAACGTGTCCGTCTGTCCAAATCCACACTGACTCTAACTACTGTTGCCCTTGTCAGAAACGGCTGTCTTTTCAGCAGCTCAGTACTTGAGGTGCTGAAAGGACAGCAGTCGGTTAAACTGTCAGTTGTCTTCACTCGTACCCCTGAACTGACTGAATCACTCAATGGACAAAATAGTTTTGTAGTAGTTATGAGAGAATTATACTACAAAAAAATAGATACAGTTTTCATTTGATTCATATACTTTTTTGTACCTGCCCACTATAACTTTTCATTAGAAATAGTTAAACTGGAAAACTCGTATTAAAAGCTCAATTGATGCCATACATGTGTGACCTGTCTCTCCGACATGATCAATTAGAAAAAGTGTCAACAATTTTGCTGAACATTCTCAGGTTCCATCCTCTGCAGAATGAGCATTTGTTGTTTTTCTCTGATTTGTAATTGCCAATCAAATATTTAATCAACAATGAATGAATATTACTGGAAGATTAATTGCCAGTTATAGCCCGAGGTATTCAACTCACCCAATACTTTATTGAGCCTTTAAACTCTTCGCTGGTGTAACAAATGCATCCCTAACTGACAGTGCTGTTGACAATGCACTAGTTGATTTCCACAGGAAGAAGCAATTATTGACTTGTCCCCATCCAAGGTCAGAATGCAGAGAAGATAACTGTTGTTGGTGACTGCAAACAGCCTGCAGTGAATGGATTACAGTAGGAAGCTAGCTAGTTGACTAACACTGGCACTAATGCAGTAATGTCAATTTTTTGGTATTGTCGCTGTAAAAGCACACTTTTGATGGATCTAGACTGAAAAGATGAATCTATTACTGAACTAAGGTAGTCTAGACTTTTGGTAAGGTACTAATGTCATCACTAGTCATAACTAAACATTAAAAAAAAACATCTTTACAGTAGCCCTACCTTGCAGAACAAGCAGCAGATTTGGGCCATATGATGAAACACATTCATGGTTGATAGGCCCGCATTTTCCTGCATTAAGCATACAGTAGATTTTTACCCTTAAATCCCAAAAGCTGCTCTGAGGTTATTTACCCTAATTAATCCAAAGACTGGCTTTAATCAAAGCACTCACTCACACACACATACACACACATACACAAGTTTCAAGTTGCAGTGTATTCTGCCTTTGTGTTTCTCAGTTGCAAAAAGGTACAAGCGGAAAGATAAAGGAAAAAAGGAATGAAAGAAAGGGAAAGACTGAAAGAAGAAAGAGAAAGGGCAGTGTGTTTAATCCTCTGGGAGGACGTTTTAGCTGGACTAGTCTTAGGAGGGAGGATAAGAGAGAGAGGGAGAGAGAGAGAGAGGAGAAAATGATGACGAGTTGGTGAACTCAGGGAGTCAAGTTGGTGTCCTCAATCCAGCTAAATCCCCCATACCCTTATGTCTGCCTCAACAGCTACACACACGTATCACCCTGTGCTGACCATAAAAAAAGGCTCATATAGTCTCATATAAACTTGTATTCACCTTATTGACATTCAACATTATTGATCCTGTTTTCATACACCATTCTGTTTGCTCAACAATAATATATATGCAGCTTAACTATGGAGCTGTAGCACATTATCAGTATTGCAGCTGTGTAGATTTAGATCAGTGAATGAAAACAAATTGCAAAAAGGCCATTATCTTGGTACAATGCTTTGCCCTGCAGCAGTACATTCAAAATCTGCTCTCGTGATCGGCAAAATGGCATGGTCTGGATTTACGTCTGTCAGTCTTTTTTTTTTTTTTTTTAATTGCTGTAAGAGCACTTGCAGACAAGTTGTGATGTCAACTGCATCAAATTTATCCTTGTCTAGACAGAGTGCTTTGGGAAGACTCTAAAAAGAGCATCGATAATTTTGGAAATGACAATAGTCAGAAGATAAATGACGAAAGTGCCAGTTCTGTCGCTGATGCCTGGACGTGTTAGACTGGACTGCTGAGGCCTGGATGTGATTTACCCCCCACGTCTTTGTTTTGTGTGGCATATTCACATGGGATAAATGAAATTTGTGTTTCACGCAAATTTATTGACCAAATCCTAGGAGTTATCAGCAAATATCATTAAATCTTAATGGGTCTCCATGCTGAGTAGCTAGATGAACCTCCCTAATTTGAATCCAAAATGCTATCAGTGTTCTCATTAATGCTTTTCACTGCAGCTTCCATAATTTAGGAAGATGGGGAACAGAAAATCAAGGAGTCATCGGGAAAAAGGACTCACATTAATGCAAAGCTGATTCACAGCCTGCTAATGCAATTATGTAGGTGTAGGTGCCTCTGTATTTGGCAAAATTACACCACAGACAACCTCTGCTGTTATTACAGATCAAAAGAGGGCTCATGGTAATACTAAGGGATAAGGCTGAGATGACAAAAAATGGGGTCATTGGGCTTCAATCCTGACCTACTGAATCTTCATACAATATATTTATTTTAGGAGAAAAATGTATTTAAATGTGTCACATACACAGCAAGCAGTTATTGCATCAGTACTATAACTATAGGAAACCTTTAGTGTTTTGTTGGAACTGCAATATATTGAAAAGATTGAAAGGAGAAAAATAACGGAACAGTTAATTTTCAAGCAACCGGAAATACTCTGTTCCAGCAATGACACCTTTAATACTGTGTGCTTGAAAGAGGTTGGAAACATTGCCAACATTGTCAGGTTTCTGGTAAAGGTGGCACTGAGTCTGAGCAATGACTCATCTGTAAGTACTTATAATTACCATAGTTCCTTTTTATTACTTATAATCCCTTGGATTTGTTACACTTGCTGTTTGTCTGATTTGTAATACTTGCTTCTTATTTGTCATTTAGTATGTACAGTCTGTTGACTTGTTTTTTTTTTTAGAAGTCTTTTTATCCTTGTTGAAATTTTTTGTCTTGTCAGCATTTAATGTTGTGCAGCAAAACACCATGTCAGATTAGTCATATGTGGAAACCTACATGGTAGTATAACAGTTTCTGATTCTGATTCTAAAAAATACATAATATTGGATTGTATAAAATTGAGTATTTCTGTTTCTGTTTTTCTGTTTCTGTAGAAAACTCTGAGCTCAATTAACTGTAGTCCCTGACAGAGCAGCGGGAACGGATAGAATTTGCTTTGATTAATTAACTATGGCAGCATATGCAGTTGGACAGTGTACAAGCTTTATTTTCTGACAGATTCAAGTGCTATACTTCAAATAATCCTGAACTATGACATCCACTAACTTTCTCTGAAAATTACATTTTTTGTGTGTGTGAGGAATGTCTGCATGTCTCCACAGAGATCTCTTTGACGTATCATGTTTCAGAAGCCACAGCCGATCAAAGCAATAGGTTGCTGTGATGTTGTGGCAGCACTCCTATATAGCTAGACTCAGTGGGAACCGTTTTTGGTATGTCTTGGCCATCTCTTTCTGTTTCTGTTTCCTTTTGTGATGTTGCCACACTGTGGTATAAGCTAATTCTCATCTGATAAACTAATTCTTTTCCCCCTTGACCCCCACCACGTGAATGTCAAAGTGCTACAGAGAGCCTGCGCTGGTGTATGCACTTCAAAAATATTGTGTCCTAAATGAACTGTAGACTGGAGCTTACACAATTACATGAAATATTTTTGCTTTTTTAAACTAAAATGACAGAAAGTCCAAACACGACTGTAGTTTTAACTTTGTTGACCTCCACACAGTCAAAGGTTTACATATTAAATAGCAGTGTTTTCC